TGTATTATACATGGAGATCATATCCCCCCTTATGTATTATACATGGAGATCATATCCCTCTTATGTATTATACATGGAGATCATATCCCCCCTTATGTATTATACATGGAGATCATATCCCCCCTTATGATTATACATGGAGATCATATCCCCCTTATGTATTATACATGGAGATCATATCCCCCCTTATGTATTATACATGGAGATCATATCCCCCCTTAATCTCCTCTTCTCAAGAGAGAATAAATTCAGTTCCTCTAATCTTTCCTCATAGCTGAGCTCCTCCATGCCTCGTATCAGTTTGGTTGCCCTTCTCTGTACTTTCTCCAGTTCTCCAATGTTCTTTTTGTGAATTGGTGCCCAAAACTGAACTGCATATTTCAGGTGAAAAGGAATTGTATGTTTTACCATTTTACTCGGTAAAGTTGGTGGTTAAGGTAATTGTTTGGTTTGCTTTACTGTGAACTGAGAGTCCAAGGGAGCTCCTACAGTGTATGGGGATGTGTAATAAAGTGTAAACCTTTGTGGTAACCTCATGGGTAATGACATGTACGGTTGAAGGAAAGAAAATTCCTTGATTCCCCCCATCAACACTGAATCCCTCCCGAAGAGCTCTTGTATTCTTATAGCGAGAGGTTTCCAAGCTGTCAGAATACAACGATCACTGCATGTGGCTATAGCAGTGATCGAAGAAAAAAACCCCAACAGGCTAGTTGTACTGAAGTCCATTGACAGATTGACTTTGGTACAACCAGCGTGCGCATACATTGTTCCAAATCCATCTGGTTCCTGCTGAGCTGGGTGAATTTTGATCCATCTATGACCAGCTTAACAGGTAAAGGAAAGAGAAGTAGCCTGTTCAGGAGAGGAGGTACTGGTGGCCAGTGATGGAGGTTCTATAATGGGTGGATTGGTGGCTGTATGGTCTGCCCTTCTAAGAACCAGGGACCCAAAGCTGGGGCCAACTGCATAGCAGAACTCACCTATGGACTAAGCCTGGACCACTGTGTGGTGACCAGTGCAGTACGTTGGCCACAATAGGGGGCTTATTCACACAAGAGTGTAGTTTTATCAAGCTAACACTTGAAAAATAATACATTTAACCACTTGCCCCCTGGAATATTTACCCCCTTCATGACCAGGCCATTTTTTGCTATACGGTGCTGCGCTACTTTACCTGACAATTGCACCATCATGCAACACTGTGCACAAATTAAATTTATATAATTTTTTCACACAAATAGAGCTTTCTTTTTGGTGGTATATGATCATCACTGGATTTTTTATTTTTTGCTATAAATGAAAAAAAGACATAAAAAACAATATTTTGTACTTTTTGCTATAAAACATATCCAAAAATGTTTTTTTAAAAAAATCAAAATGTCTTCATAAATTTAAATAAAAAATGTTTTTTAAAATAAAAATCAAAATATATTCTGCTACATGCTTGGTAAAAAAATCCCAATAAGTGTATATTAGTTGGTAATTGGTTTGCGTGAAAGTTATAGCGTCTACAAATGGCAGTACATATACAGGAATTTTTATTTATTTATTTATACTAGTAATGGCAGCCAGGGGCAGACTGACAACTCATGGGGCCCCCGGGCAATAAGGGATCATGGGGTCCCTGTGTCTTTGCCCAAACTCCAAAAAAACCTATGAAAAAGGTACCAGGGGCATCTCATGGGGCCCCCTACTGACCCCGGGCCCTTGGGCAGTGCCCAAGTTTCCAAATAGTCAGTCCGCCACTGATGGCAGCGATCATCGACTTATAACGGGACTGAGATAGTATGACAGGCATTCTGACAATAACTGACACTGGGTGGGAACTGACTAACTGCCACTGACATCTCCAGAGACACTAATACAGTGATCAGTGCTAATAAAAAGCACTGACACTGAACTAATGACACTGGGCAGGAAGGGGTTAACATCTAGGGTGATCAGAGGGTTAACTGTGTGTTAGGGAGTGATTTAACTGTGTACTGTATAGTGTTTTACTAGGGGATGTGCTGGTTTTTATCTCCCTGCTTTGCAGAGAGATAAAAACCAGCATGTCGCCACTGACAGGAGAGAGATCTGTGTTTACACTCACAGATCTCTCTCTTGTCAGCTGCTCCAACAATCGGTGAGTCCACCCATGAATCGCCCATGAATCGCTGGCTGGGGCCTGCTGATTGATACCTACAGGAGCCGATAACAGCTCAGGTAGGATGGCATGCGAGCGCACGCCCCCTAGCCGTAAATGCAGAATCATGTATATATATGTGATTTTGCGCAGAACGGCTGCCCTGTGGCAGTAAAACTGCTTCAGGGCGGTCAGTAAATGATTAAACTGGCAGCATGCGGTTCCCCTGTGAATGTCAGAATATGCCCCTACCCAGAAGTACCAGGTATTTTCTTGTGCTGAACTTAGGCAATTGGTAAGTAAGGAAAGAAAAGTATTTGCAGTGGGCATTGGGGAGATCAAAACAAACTGATTGTTTGCCCTGAATGGGCCCTGCAATCCTTTAGCCATTTAGTCATCTGGATTTATGGGGCTAAAGGTGTCCAGAAGTGGCCATAGAAGGTGTCCAGAAGTTGCCATACAAGAGAAAAAAAAAAAAACTTTTTTCTGTCCTCTTTAACTCTATTGCCCTGGAGGGAAGCACTGGAAATATCTGTCTGAGCTTTCTCCTTTCTGATTCATATTCCTAAATGTGCACATTTATGCCCACCTCTTCCAAAATTGCTGCTCATTGAGAGCTGGCCTGTGTGCTGGACCATCCTCCACACCAGGGGCGGACTGACCATTTGGAAACTCGGGCACTGCCCGTGGGCCTGGGGTCAGTACGGGGCCCCATGAGATGCCCCTGGTACCTTTTTCATAGGCTTTTTTGAGTTTGGGCAAGGACACAGGGGCCCCATGATCCCCTATTGCCCAGGGACCCCATGAGTTATCAGTCCAGCCCTGCTCCACACCCATCTTTACACTGATGTCCCAAGTGATGGACAGCCAGTGAAAAAATGCAAGACCTGGTTAAAGTTTACTAATGTCTGATGATACATTATTCATTTAATACTTTCATCACTTCATCACTTCCTAATTTTTCACTTTCCAGGCATCCCAGGGTTAAGTCTGCAGAGGGAATAGATTGCTCAGTAGACTTCGCCCCCACCAACTTAATACTGATCATGTGTCTGCCTCTGGCTTCAAGGTGCAAGAGTGCAACCCTTCCAGCTCACAGCCTGCTGCTTATATAAAGACAGAGAAGGAGGGGGGGACAGAGATTGCTGCTACTGAGAAGGTGAGGAACATGGACTAGGAATGGAAGGACAGGTCCTAGGAAGGAATCTGATAATATATGGAACATGGACTGGGGATGGAAGGACAGGTCCTAGGAAGGAGTCTGATAATATATGGGACATAGACTGGGGATGGAAGAACAGGTCCTAGGAAGGAGTCTGATATATAATATTTATATATATATATATATATATATATATATATATATATATATATATATAAAAAAACAATGGGTGTGGGGACACAGTGTATATGGCTCATTAGGGTTATTACAAAAAAAAGTGATATATTGTTATAATATTTACAATTATCATTATTGTTGTAGATACTGATAAGACGAACCACCAGAAGAATCTTATATTTTTTAGCGATCCCAGTCAATAGATGTATGGTTTAATTTTCAGATATGATCACTTGCACTGGCCAAATAATGGGGTCCCACCAGATATTTAGCTAGCATCTACCCAAAAACTACAATATCAGCTTTAGGCTTTAGGTTGACCTTTGAAAGTATATTTTTTGCGGTTCCCCAGTTGTTGTGGAACTATGAGTCCCATTCTGCGGTTTCTAGGACTTCTAGAATTTCTAGTTCCAAAATGACTATTGGAGAATATGGTAGCCAATTCTTGATTATAGCATCTCATACAAGGAAGGAGATTCTCTTGACTTTGGAATTTCAGCTATTTGATTTATAGATGTCATACAGAGTTTGGTGCGTTACTGGTGGAATTCACAGATGGAAATAGGCAAGAAAGGCCAGGCATCTAGCATCTTCCTGTTCTAATAATTTGTTTTTTTTTTGCTCCCATAGGATTACAAAGAATAACCATGAACACGATTTTTCTACTCTTGACGATTGGGCTCCTAGCAGGTAATTCATTTACGATGACCCTATATAAGCTAATGGTGACTATAAAGGGCCTAACAGTATTTCCAATATGAATCCATTGTGTGAGGATTGGACTGTGTCACTATTTTCTAGAAGGAAATAATAGGCTTACACAATATTTTCCAAAAAGTTGGGAAATACTCGTGTGATCAGACACTGACCCTCGTCTTTTCTATTACAAACTGGGTACAAGTTATTGCCAAACTGGTACCCAACAACCAAAAAAAAAAATTTGGTTACAGTTTGTCATGGCTCCCTGAGGCTTCCATCTTCATCCGGTCTTCCTTTCAGGTTCGCGAGCTACGGCCATCGAATTGGCTGGTCCGAGATGTTGTCACTCCTGCACATGCACGAAGGGAGTTTTGGCCGTGGCACAACTCTCTCAATGGACGGCACGCCATGTCCATTGAGTGACGTGATGTCACCGGCGCTTGTAGAGTAAATATCTCCTAAAAGTCGCATCTTTAGGAGATATTTACAGTACCTACAAGTAAGAATTATTAAAGGCTTACCTGTAGGTAAAATATGCAAAAGGGCATTTACTTCCACTTTAAAGGGACGAGGTGGCAACTGTATGACAGGACCAACAGTTAGGGAGAATCTGCCCAGCTGGTCACAGAAGGCAATAAAAAACAAATAGAGATTCCAATCCTTCCATATTCTATCTTAAACAACTTCTTCCATGTTTAATGATAGTATGATGATTATGTTGGGATGCTCATTGATGTTCTTTCCACAGGGGCCCAGGCTCGTTCTCTTTTCAAAGATGAACCCAAGACAAAATGGGAATCTGCATTGGACAGCTTCTGGCAGACCCTCAACAAGATGGAAGAGGCTGCGGATGAAGCTTCATCAAAGATGAAAGACTCTCAACTTGGCAAAGAACTTGAGTAAGTAAGACAAACAGAAACCTATTTGTAGGATGTCTTGTGGAGGAGAAAAAGGTGGGCTGCTGGTTTTCTATCCTTCTGTCTAGCTAAAAACCATGAATTATCTTTCATGTACGAACTCACAGGTCCAACCACAGCTTTATAGAGCTTTCACTTTCTGGTGTATAATTAGTACAAGTCATTTCACGTTCTGCTGTTCTTCCTGCAATGCTGTCATGAGACTCAGCAGATAGTTGAGCAGAAAAATGACAGATGTGCAATGAATGTTTTTTAGGAATGACCAGAACAAGAAAAGACATGCAGACTAGCTCAAAGCTACATGGTATAGGTGTGTATAATAGTAGCCTGTGGATAAGTAATAAAATATCTAGCTTGATGGGTCTTGACAGCTCCTGTAACAGCTGTGTTCAGGTTATTTACAGGATGCCTGTATCTATTCCTGCTCCAATTTATAAATTTTAATTCAATATGGCACCCTTGTTATTACATAAGACTGGTTCATGATTGTTGATGTGATAGCTTCTTTAATCCCCCAAAGTGACATTACAACCTAAAACATGACTTGTTCCACTGGGCTAATTAAATAAACTATGTACGGAGCAAAGGCATTAACCTAGAGCAGCCAATCAGAATTCAGCTTACCAGCCAACATGGATTCTGGTTATTAGCACTGTTCTTTAGATCTTGCACTGTGTTGGTTTCCAGGTCCTACTACACATGGCTCTTTGTTTTTTTTTTAAATGAGCATTAGGGCTCATGTACACTGCAGCTCCTAAACTGACGTTCAGGAGCTGTTCAGTGTTTTTTTTCAGCAGCCCCTGAACTCTCCATAATGTTTTCCTATGTGTCCATGTACACATCATCGTTTACGGGCAGTTGGGTTTACAGTTGTTATTTTGAATGCACCAAACTTGCGTTCAGGAGTAGATTATACTGGCAGTTTTAACGCACAATGCTTGTATATGCATGTAAACGCGGTTAACCGCATTCATAAGCGTTTGCGTTTAGAAGCATTTTTTAACTGTTCCATGTTCAGATGCTGTCCAGAGCCTTTTTTCTTCATCAGAAATGCATGCAAAGCATTTTTCATGTATTCAAATGGACCCGGTACGCCAGCGCAGTCAGTTCCAGGTTTCGTGTGAAGGAAAAATGGTAGAACGCGCCGCATTATGCTCATGATGGGATCCATAGTGAATACAACCAGAAAAGACAGGTCATCTCAACACATACTGCTCTCTCTGCTTCTGCTCTCTCTATTCCTCTCAAAATGTCTGAAATAGTTAATTTTTTACTATTTTTCAGTGCATTTTGGGCATTTGGGAAAGGTCTCCTGAGGTTATCTTTAAAAAAACGCTTCTAAACGCAAATGCTCATAAACACACATAAACGCGGTATGCAAACGTTGCTACACTAACGTTTTTTAACCTGCATTTTCCAGCAGTCAGTTTCCATCGTTCAGAAGAGTTTTCCAAATGCCCCGTGTACATGAGCCCTTACAATAAAATGAAGGCAGATTGCAGGTCATCTCGATGTACCTTCTAGGTATCCCCAATTGTTTGCTTCTAAAACAGCGTATGGTTTCATGCTTACTCAGCATCTAGCGTTGATATGCTGAAGCCTTCAATCAAACATTTATATATTAAGGACTATGTATTACAAGACCAGTAATCACTTTGCTCTTAAAGACAGATGTTCTAATCACAACCACTTTTATGTATTTGAAATGCATGTCTGCCTGTTGCCCTGCAGCAATCTCACTGCCTGTATTAGTCAGTGTCGGCATTTCATCTACATTTGCAGAAGAATGTGGAATAAGCAGGGCCTGACTTGCGTAAGCATGTGCTTGTTATTCTGAGCATCCCCTGTACTAAATTAATACGGGGACTGAATTTTTTTCTACTGATGTTTTATTTATTTTTAATTTTTTTTAATAAAATCTTTATCTTACTACAATGCAGTGGAGGTCATACATAACCCTCATTTTCCAAAGAAAAGTTCAAACACTTCAACACTCAGACAGTAGTACATCTGGGGTTGCCATTTCATCCCTTTAAAACCGAACACATATTAATTACGCAGGTTCTGAAGCTAATTTATTGCAGATGAGCCACTAATGCAGGCCATAGACGGGTCGAAAATCGGCCAATTTTTCTTTAAAAAAAATGAAAAATCAGTCGTTCAAGCGGCCGACGTTACCAGCAACGGAAAAAAAAAATCAGCCGATTTTCATCCTGTCTACAGCCGGCAAAAAGTGTCCCTGCAGAGAGCTCCGCTATTTCTTTGACAGTTCCTTGACATTTATAGCAGTTGCAACAATGTATCTATTTGTATCCATTTAGGATACAGATGTTTTTATTCGGAAACAAATAGATACATTGTTGCAACCGCTATAAATGTCAAGCAACTGTCAAAGAAATAGCGGAGCTCTCTGCAGGGACACTTTTTGCTGGACTGGAATTCCTCTTCTTCTTCATCCTCTTCTTCTTCATCCTCTTCTTCTTCTTCATCCTCTTCTTCATCCTCTTCTTCATCATCCTCTTCTTCTTCTTCTTCTTCTTCATCCTCTTCTTCTTCTTATTTTTCATCCTCTTCTTCTTCCTCTTCATCCTATTCTTCTTCTTCCTCTTCTTCTTCATCCTCTTCTTCTTCATCCTCTTCTTCTTCATCTTCTTCATCCTCTTCTTCTTCATCCTCTTCTTCTTCTTCATCCTCTTCTTCTGCTTCTTCCTCTTCTTCTTCTTCCTCTTCTTCATCCTCTTCTTCATCTTCCTCTTCTTCATCCTCTTCCTCTTCATCCTCTTCTTCTTCATCCTCTTCTTCTTCATCCTCCTCTTCTTCATCCTCTTCTTCATCCTCTCTTCTTCTTCTTCATCCTCTTCTTCTTCTTCATCCCTCTTCTTCTCTTCCCCTTCTCCTTCTTCATCCTCTTCTTCTTCTTCATCCTCTTCTTCTCTTCCCCTTCTCCTTCTTCCTCTTCTTCTTCATCCTCTTCTTCATCCTCCTCTTCTTCTACTTCATCCTCTTCTTCTTTTTGTCTTCCTCTTGCAGGTCACTGCTCATGCGCAGATTTTTTTTATCGGTAAAAGATCGGCCAATTTGCCCATCATTGCCGCGAAAATCGGCCGATCGGCAAAATCGGCCGATTTTTTTACAACTTTACCGATCAAAAAAATCTGCCAAAATACCGAAAAACGGCCGAACATTTAGCACACTAACGATCCGAAAATCGGCCGATTTTATTTTCGGCTGAAAAATCGGCCGATTTTCGACCCATCTATGGCCTGCATAAGTGAGTTTAATTACCACCTTAATCAGCCACAGAACCTGTGTAATTAATATGTGTTTGGTTTTAAAGGGATGAGGTGACAACCCTAAGTACATCCAACAGTGTCAAAAAAGCTTACAGGCAATACTGGGGTTTTCTATTAAAAGGTACAGCATGCTTTGGAAAACGAGGTGCAAAAAGACACAGGAGGGCAAACGCCTAGTGAATTACCACCATTAATGTTTATTGAATATAAAAAAAGACCATTACATACTCACAAACATTGTAAGGAACAGGCAAATCAAATAACAAATCCAGCCGAAGGGCAGTATCATTGACGATGTATAGCACATGCAAACCCAAAAGAACAACTTCCTGCTCTCAAGGTGAATGTTCCGGCTATGGTGGGCCTTGGGTCTTCAACCACTCAAGTTTTGTCAAGACTTTGCAGCCCCCCCGAGGACTGGGGAAGCCCAAAAGAAACACTAGAAAAAAACAGAGGATGTTATAAACAAAAATAAACAGAGCAAAACAATACCCAAACCAAATGAATTACATAATAATAAACTATAAAATAAAAATTATATAAAAATTATAAATTATTATAAATAAAATTGATAATGTCCAAAAAAAAACTTAATGTGTCCAAAAAAAAAAAAATTTCTTTAAGATAAACATAAAGTCCTTTATCCCAAATTCCAGGGTGCTTCAGCAAAAAAAAAAAAATGTATTATAATTATCTTCCTATGATATGTGCTTCCACCATCCACCAGTGCTGTGACCAACATAAACCGCACTCACCAGATATTGGTGAATAGTAGGCCTTATAGGACTTTTAGGGATCCTACACCCCCTCTACAGCCTCCAGACCTCCAAAAAAACAGAGGGTGCACCAGCCTTGCGCACTACCTTTGTAGATCATTTTATTGAAATTATAAAGTAGATGTATACTCATAAACGGCATACAATCTCAAACTCATCAATATTCACAGCGTTTGACATGATCTGGTCCACTGCGCAAGTCCCAATCATGGGAAGACGTCAGAATTGTTGATGCATTTTGAGGGGGTCTCCTCTTCCCCAGAGTCACTTGTCTGATGCGTTTTGAGGGGGGCCCTCTTCTTCAGAGCCAGTTGGACCCCCTTCGAAACACATCAGCCATTCTCAGTGTCTTCTTGTGGTTGGGATTTGCAGTGGACCTGGTCATGCTGGGCACTGTGAATATTGAAGAGCTTGAGATTCTGTTTGTGAGTATACATCTAATTTATTATTTCAGTAAGGATCTACAAAAGTAATGCACAAGGCTGGTGTACCCTCTGTATCAGTCTATCAAGTATACTCTCTCTGAAGAAGGGGGCACATCTCCCCAAACTTAGCAGCCTTTCAACTGTGTTATACAAGATCAGACGACATCGCCTTATGACTAGAGTTGCTATTTGATAGCCTGTTCCTTACAATGTTTGTGAGTATGCAATTGTCTTTTGGATCCAATTAACAGGGGCGGACTGACCATTCGAGCACTCGGGCACTGCCCGAGGGCACCGGGTCAGTAGGGGGCCCCATGAAATGCCCCTGGTACCTTTTTTATAGGCTTTTTTGAGTGTGGGCAAGGACACAGGGGCCCCATGATCCTCTATTGCCCGGGGGCCCCATGAGTTGTCAGTCCGCCCCTGCCAATAAACAATAATGTTGGCAATGCACTAGGCGCCTTCCTGTGTGTTTTTGCACCACATTTTCCAAAGCATGTTATACCTTTTAACACAAACCCCTTGACTGCCTGGGTGTAATAAATAATTAATAGTCTCTGCTTTGTAAAATGAAAGACCAAGATATCATGGACCCCCTCTACTACACTTAGAAAAGTTTGTTACTACTGTTTGTGTCTCTTTTGGAAAGATTTTTCAGAATGTCTTGTCTAGGTCACAGGGGAACAGTAACTGGGGAGAAAATCTCCCATTAGGAACATGAACAGCAATTAAAAATAACTGATAAATGTCCAATGTACTCACTAATATATCCAAGGAACAGGGGCGGACTGACAACTCATGGGGCCCCCGGGCAATAGGGGATCATGGGCCCCTGTGTCCTTGCCCAAACTCAAAAAAGCCTATGAAAAAGGTACCACGGGCATCCCATGGGGCCCCCTACTGACCCCAGGCCCTCGGGCATTGCCCGAGATTCCAAATGGTCAGTCCGCCCCTGCCAAGGAATAAAAATGCCTATTGTTGAGCTTTGGCTAGAGTGGGGAAATGTTAAAACCCCTTTATTAAGTTTTTATTGTTGTTTGTGTCTGGCTGAGACAGATGTACCTTTTTAGTTTTGGTTTCACTGGGGCAGGAAGTAACATTAAATATAAAATGTTATAATTTTCCCAAGATTAAGAACAGAGGGTACATCTTTTATTGGGGACGTCTGTTCTGGTGAAAACTGTCTAAAGCTAGCCATAGATGGAGCGATTTTCTTTCCTGCAAACACAGGTTGCAGGAAAGAAAATTGTTAGTCAGTGTTGATGGGGGAATCCCTCCCGTGAAGCCATTGTGGTCTCCCAGCTGGGGAGGGGGGTGCGGGAAGCTGTCCAAGCTGGGATACCACAGTGATTACTGTAAAGGAACCGGACACAGTCTGCGCTTGGGTATTTCTGTTATAATACCGCTTCCCTGTCCGAACACAGACAAGACACCACTCTTGAAGGAAAACCAGGAAATAGACTGCTGTATTTTAACACAGATACAGTACTGTTTGGACCTTGAAGAAGGGGACACTCCCCGAAAGCTTGTCCTCAAAATTGTATGTTAGTGCAAATAAAAAAAGTATCACGGACAGTACTCAATTGTTTCTAACACAGACACAAGATATATACATTCAAGGGAACAATTCCCCCCTCCCTGCATAATGACACAGGGCGGGGCAAACCAAATCTAGCAACACATCAGCAGACACCCCCCACCAAGCCAATACACCAACACAAACATCCCATAATACTTTGCTCCCAAGCAAGACACACAATAGGACAATGGGATACAATTACATGGCATTAAACAATCCAGAACCCCCCACCCCACCTATACATGTCTACACAATATCAGGTCATATCACCCTGCACCCCTAACAGGCACAGGGTGACTTACACATAAGAGGGATATGGGGAGTTGAGACAGGGGTCTCCCCACCTCTCCAAAGTGAACTGTGTTCCATGGGCCCCCCACCCAAAGTGACTCCCGTCACAATTACTGCTAGTGGCTTTAATAGCCGCTAACAATAATCGCATGTACAATCCAACAGGCTTGTTGTACTCAAGTTGATCGATCAATCAACTTGGGTACATTCAGCCTTCCCATATGTGGTTTGAGTCTCGGCCAGTCCCTGCTGAACTGGCCGAGATTCGAACCATCTATGGCAGTCTTAAAGCTGCAATAAACAAACAAAAAAAGGTTTCCCCTACAAGGTGATGCCATAATTTTCTATCATGCATCGCTTACTAGCAAATTATGAAGGACTTACCTTAAAACAAAGCCTCTAGCAGTGTGCTGTCACCACAGCCGAGGCTTCCATCTTCACCTGGTCTTCCATCCAGGTTCGTGAACTCCGACCGTCCGACTGGCCGAGTCATGATGACATCACTCCTGCGCATGCGCACGGGAGTACAGGGCCACAGCACAGTGCTTATAAGAAAGCTTACCTGTAGGTTAAATGAATATAGGTTAAATGAATATATTCGCTCCTTTTGATGGCCAGCGCATGCGGTCTGAAGGAACGGCATAGCCGTGCCATTCCTGCAGAGCGCATGTATCGTCTGTCAAAAGGAGCAAATATATTGATTGAACCTACAGGTAAGCTTTATTATATAAGCTTACCTGTAGGCAAAAAATACAAATCTGGAGTTTACTACAACTTTAAGAGGGCATTTAACCTCACTTTGGAGAGATTACCTGTTGTCTTCAGTACTTTAAACAAAGTGAGATCCCACCAGAGGGGCTCAAACAACAAATAAACTTGATAGAGGTCTTAACCATTCCTCACTCTATTCAAAACTGAACCAAAAAAAATAGGTTTTGGCTTTATGTATACATTAAGGATAATTATTTTGTGATATTTTTCAAGTATATTTCATGGTATACTTACTAGGACCTCTATATCTTTACTTGTAGTGGACTCATCAAAGAAACCATGGAAGAACTGAGCAATTATGCTGAAGATCTAAAGAGCAAGGTTGGTCCCATGGCTCAAGATGCTAACCAACGATTTACTGATGAGATATCTGCTCTTGCTGACAAGCTGAAGAACGACATGGAGGACACCAAGACAAGAGCCATACAGTACTCTGGAGATCTGAAATCCATGTTCGATCAGAACATCGAAGATGTCCAAGGAAAGGTTAGTATGTACATGAAGAAACTAAAAAAACGCCTTGCGAAGGACAGCGAAGACCTCAAGAGTAAACTCAACCAGTATGGAGATGACCTGAGCAAGAGCACCCAGGAGAAAGTGGAAAATCTCCGCAAAAATGTGGAGCCAATTGTTAACAATTTGAAGAAGAAAGGACAACAGCGCCTTCAGTCTCTGAAAGATGCCATGGATGAGCAAGGAAAACAGCTGAGAGATCGATTTGCCTCAGTGGCCAAGGACGTCCAAAGCAAAGTTAAAAAGATGGCCTCAGATGTGAAAAGCAGCGTGGACAAACTGTCAGACCAGGTGCGCAAATGGTTCAACCCCTCTGTAGAAAACCTCCGTAACCAGCTTCAGAACCTGGCCAAGAGCTTGCCACCCAAGAAACAGTAAACCCTTGACCATCATCCCTGCATTTACTGCCATGCTCCTAACATTTCATTTGTAACACATATGCCATTTGCTGCTAATCTTAGACCAAAAGCTTGCCATCCAAGTGAGGTTGTAGATTTAAAGTCAGTTACAGACAACCACACTTCCATTATTTTACTGCATCTGGACAAGCCAAAATGTTTTGCAAATGATGTGAGGTCCAACCAATTCCAGGTATAATCATTATATATATTAGTGGTAGGACATCTGAAGCCTTGGAATTCTGCTCTCAAAAAAGAAAACTCTTAATAGTTACAATCCTAAAAAAGCCAGATATTCAGAGCCAAACACCAGTTAACAATACCTCTTAATTAGCACAAGACCAAAGATAACAATACTATCTGCCTGCTGAAACATCTGCAGCTTCTACCGGGATGCCTCAGGCAAAAGACAAGCACTCAAACTTTTTGAACTTTCTAAAAACAACTGGCAACTTGGGGCTATCTGATCCTCATGCTGTATGTCAAAGTCTTTAGACAAATGTATAAGCACCTGACTTTAGTATATCCAGAAAGTATTTTTAGATGAATAGATGAATGCTAGTTTTCTTATAAAAGAATTAAGGGAGTTTACACCGTCAGATAACTTGAATGTACATGCCCTCCTGCATATTTTTATAAAATACATATCCTTTAGTTTTTGCTTGCATATTTGTCTTATAGCACAATAAGAGCACAGAAATTTTTTTTTTTTATAAAAATCAATGCATATAGTAAAAGCTACCAAAAAACTGTATCAGCCTTATCTGATGACGTATGAACCCCTAAAAAATGTGTTACTACGTGGCAAAATCAAAAGGTCTTGCAAGACTTCAATTCTCTAGTGCGGTCGCTTAAACTAAATAGTATTTTGTGTATAATTTTACGTCTTTAATACTCATTTCTATATATATAGTTTTATGTGTTTTTGTAATACTTATGTGTAATCTCAATGTTTGTGTACAGAAAACCAATTATACACAATGTATTTTGTCAGCTGTACAATGTATTTTGTGTCAACCGTTTACAAATAAAGGGAACAGCTGATAATCTGGTTATTGTGTGACATTTTTTATTATTATTATTATTATAATACAGTATTTATATAGCGCCAAAAAGTTTGCTCAGCGCTGTACATTATAGTGGGGACAGTACATGAGACAATACAGTGACAATACAATACACGAGGGGTACGAGGGCCCTGCTCTTGGGAGCTTACAATCTAGGAGGGAGGGGGTAGTGGTACAGGAGGAAGTGGCTGTGGGGGATGGAGTGGTAGGAGGAGTGGAGGAGATCGGCTGTTAGGTGAGGGCGGGGTAGGCTTCCCTGAAGAGATGGGTTTTCAGGGTGCGCCTAAAGGTGAGGAGGGTAGGTGACAGTCTGATGGATTGGGGTAGTGAGTTCCAGAGGATGGGGGAAGTCCTAGAGAAGTCCTGGCATGGGAGGAGGAGACTAAGGAGCTAGAGAGTAGGAGGTCTTGTGAGGAGCGAAGAGTACGTGTTGGGTGGTATTTGGGTATCAGATCGGTGAGGTAGTTTGGGGGGCAGCGTTATGAATGGCTTTGTACGTCAATGTTAGTAGTTTGAATTTTATGCGTTGGGCAATCGGAAGCCAGTGGAGGGAATGACAGAGGGGGGTGGCAGATACGGAGCAGTTGGTAAGGTGGATGAATCTGGCCGCTGAGTTCAGGATAGACTGAAGCGGGGATAGTCTGTGATGAGGTAGACCGGTGAGGAGGGAGTTGCAGTAGTCGAGTCGTGAGATAATAAGGGAGTGAACGAGTAGTTTAGTAGTGTCTGGGGTTAGGAACGAACATATTTGGAGATGTTGCGGAGGTGGAGCCTGCATGAATTTGCCAGCGATTGAACATGGGGTTGGAAAGGATAGACTGGAGTCTAGGGTGACACCTAGGACTTTTGCTTGCGGGGTGGGACTGATGGACATTTATACATGGACTTTAAGAAATGGTGAGATAAAAGCAAGGGACCAACTACAAAAAGCAGTAACCAATAGCAATCAGTCAGAATTTCTACCTAATAAAACCAGACTGGATAGATTCTGCATACCTAATATGAGTATTTCATTTTGTGGTGGTGCACATGTGATACTTTGTATCCTTTCCTCATCTAAAAAGAAGAGTGAACATTTGTCCATAATTATTGGATGACTGCCAAACACATGAGGCATCACCCTATGCATGTTGCAAGTCAGAAACAGCCCACCAACTGCAAATTAATGTGACCCTTAACTTGCCTTTAGTAGGCCTCTGGGGCGTTATTCCTCTTAGAGACGAAATGGGGCACTATTCCTCCCACTGGCAGCAACAATAAGTCGCTATTCCTCCTACTGACACCAACAATAAGGCGCTATTCCTCCCACTGGCAGCAACAATAAGTCTCTATTCCTCCCACTGACAGCAACAATAAGGCGCTATTCCTCCCACTGACAGCAACAATAAGGCACTATTCCTCCCACTGACACCAATAATAAGGCACTATTCCTCCCACTGACACCAATAATTTGGCACTATTCTTCCCACTGACACCAACAATAAGGCGCTATTCTTCCCACTGACACCAGCAATAAGGCACTATTCCTCCACTGACACCAACAATAAGGCACTATTCCTCCCACTGACACCAATAATTTGGCACTATTCTTCCCACTGACACCAACAATAAGGCGCTATTCCTCCCACTGACACCAACAATAAGGCATTATTCCTCCCACTGACACCAACAATAAGGCACTGTTCCTTCCACTGACACCAACGATGGAACATACATAATCCCTCCCATTGATGGGGCACAGTTCCTCCCGTTGACACCAACAATGAGCATTATTACTACCAAAGACATCAACTTTTTCTCTTACTGATATCAACAATGGAGCAATATCCCCCTGACCACTGACACGTCAATTTTTTTACTTCAACTAACCACAGTCTGGCCCTCTAAATTCTGAAGGACAGTAAAGTGGCCCTGCCATTTGTTTAAGAAGATTTTTTTTGGCTTGAGATACACTCTAAGGCTAGCCATAGATTATCCAATTTTCTTGAGATTTTTGGTTTAGATTTACCAAAGACCATATAATACGAGGTCAAACAACACTTTCAATTTCATCCAATCAGGCAGGTTCTTTCACTACATAGTTGAAGGTAAATCTAAAGGAAATTGGGTAGAAATTGGACAGAAAATTGCCAGCCTAAATCCACACTTTATGTAAAATAAACCCTGGATTGCCTCCATAAACTCTATGCCTATTGTTCACCATATTTTGGAGGAGCTCTGATCCAATATAAACTCTCAATTTATATCCTTGGAGGACTGGAAAAATGCTTGTCTACCATTGGTACAGGTACGTTAACAAGGAAAATATATAAACAAGATGAACTTCTTCAGTTAAGCATGGTTATATTCAAAAACATTGCTAGGATCTGAGAGAGACTTCCTGGGGAACACTAGGAAAGGCAATTCTGTGGCAAATGGTGAGCGCAGCCAGATTGCACAATAGACGTCCGTTACAGTGCCACGTGCAAGATTCTCATAGACACACATAAACTGCAGAACGAAGGTTCAATGTTAAAACAAATTAGACTCCTCCAATACATACAGTATGGTTTTCTAAGCACAGAAAATAGAAAAGAGAGCTAACACAGTGGGGGTTGACTTACTACTACTACTGGAGAGTGCAAACCTGTGTTGTTGGCACCAGGGGCGGACTGACAACTCATGGGCCCCCGGGCAATAGGGGATCATGTGGCCCCTGTGTCCTTGGGCCCCAAACTCAAAAAAGCCTATGAAAAATGGTACCAGGGGCATCTCATGGGGCCCCCTACTGACCCCGGGCCCTCGGGCAGGGCCCGAGTTTCCCTAATTATGGTCAGGCTGAGCCCGCCCCTGGGGGGGGGGCACGGGGGGTGGTGCGGAGCGCGCATTGCATTAGAGGCTGCTGGGTGGTGTGAGTGGAGGTTTTTTGGAGGAAGTGGGGGTGGGCATGTTGGGTTATGGTTTGAGGAGTGATTAGTAGGGGACTCGGGAGGCGGGAGGGAGCTTTCTCGGGAGCGGAGGGGAAGGAAGGCCGATGGAAGGAAGGACAGGGAGGGCGCGGACAGGGGAGAGATAGGGCGAAGGAAGGAAGGACAGGGAGAGAGGAGGGAGAAGGAAGGACGGAAGGACAGAGAGAGGGAGAAGGAAGGAAGGAAGGACGGACGGGGCGCGAAAGAGAGGGAGAACAGGAAGGAAGGGAGAGCGAGAGCGGGAGAAGGAAGGAAAGGAAGGAAGGGAGGAAAGAGGGAGAAGGAAGGGAAGGAAGGGAGAGAGGGAGGAAGGAAGGAAGGAAGGGAGAGAGGGAGAAGGGAGGAAGGAAGGGAGCGAGGAGGGAGAAGGCCGGGAAGGCACGGACAAAGGGGCGAGAGAGGGCGAGGGGAAGGACGGAAGGAAGGAAGGAGAGGGGACGGAAGGGACGAGGCGCGAGGGGGGAGCAGGAGGGTCCGGAACGGAGGAAGGGAAGGAGAAGGAAGGAAGGAGGCGGAGAGGGCGCGGGAGAGGGGAAGGAAGGGGAAGGACGGTAAGGAAGGCCGGCAGGAGGACGGCGAGAGAGAGAGGGGACTGAAGGGGGAAGGGGAGCAGCAGGGAGAAGGAAGGGAAGAGAGCGAGGGAGAAGGAACGGAAAGGAGGGCGGGAGAGAGAGGGGAAGGAAGGGCCAGGAAGGAAGCGAGAGGGGGAGAGGACGGGGGAATTCCTTCCGGAGGGGAGCGAGAGGGAGAGGAAGGACGGAAGGAAGGGAGAGGGGAGAAGGAAGGAAGGGGAAGAGAGGAGAGCCGGAGGAAGGACGGGAAGGGGAGAGCGGGGAGGAAGGGGGGAACGGGCAGGGAGAGGAGCGGAGGGAGGGGAGGAAGGGGAGGCCGGGGGAGCGGGAGGAGCGGGAGAAGGCAGGAGGAAGGAAGGCGGAAGGAAGGAAGGGAGAGGGGAGGGAGAAGGA